CTTAAATAAGCCTAAATTTGTATAATTATCTATATCTATGTATTGATTAAAAAATCTTAAAATCTTATACTATTCGACAAAACGTGAATCCATAGTGTTGTTACCAAAACCCATGAGTGTAGCGACAAGTGTCCTTTGACATCCTTATAATTCTCGTCATCTCGGAAAAACTTTGTATCAACAACAAACATAAACATACTAATGGAGTTTCCACACCACCACCAGCATCAACGTCACCACCAACGCGACGACGGCGAAGACGATCGTCACTCCTTCGGGCAACCACCGCCACGCGTTGATGCTCCTCCACAACCTCATGGCCTTTACCAGTCACAACCTCATTTTGATCCCTACGCGCCTACTCCATCTCCGGCGCCTTACCGATCAGAACCTCAATTCGAACCCCACGCGCCTCCGCCTTACCGATCAGAGCCTTACTTTGAAGCTCCGGCACCACCGCCTGCGTTTGGTCATGTGAGTCATGTCGGTCACCAATCCTCCAACGAATCCTACCCACCGGAACACCACCGTTACGGAGGTTATCCACCGCCGTCTAATTCGATATTGGAAAGCCACGGAGACCACTCTGGCGTCACGCACGTGGCTCACCATAGCTCAAATCAGCCCCAATCGTCTCCTGGTGTCTACCACCGCCCTGATGAGAATCGTCTGCCTGATAATCTTGCCGGACTCGCCGGAAGGGCGACGGTGAAGGTGTATTCGAAGGCTGAGCCTAACTATTATCTGACGATCAGAGATGGTAAGGTCATCCTCGCTCCAGCCGATCCATCTGATGAAGCACAGGTGTGATCCAATGAACCATTGGCTTGTTGATGTGTTGATTCATATGCATCTCAATTTGTTCACTCATTTGAGAATCTGAGTAGTTTATGGTTATGCATAGCTTTCGAAATCTTCCTGTGTTGGAAGATTGAATCTTGTTGATTATGATTTAGAATGAAGAAACACGTTTCAATTGTTATCTACTCTGCTATTCTAGAATTTAGTTTTGTGGTTCAATTTCTCAGATCCTCTTGTTATGTTCATGTTTTGGCTTTGCATACAAAACCAGGATCATGTTGTATATATAGGCTATGATCCTGATGCTTCCATTGATTGATTATGTTAAAGTAGGACATTTTATTGTTGATCCTTGCATTGTTGATTTTGATGTATGTATTATCATACTCATGAAATGGTTTTGGATCCGCAGCATTGGTACAAAGACGAGAAGTATAGTACTAAAGTGAAGGACGCAGACGGTCATCCTTGTTTTGCTCTTGTAAACAAGGCTACTGGTGAAGCAATGAAGCATTCTGTGGGAGCTACCCATCCCGTAAGCTTTTCTTTCTTAGACGATGTCATTTTTGTCCTGTGACTTTCATTATTTTCAGTATGACATCTCAACGGGTCATACTGTTAGCTAAATGTTAGTTTTCATAACCTTCAACGGGTCTTGAAAAAAAGTTATTCATCATGTTATGAAAATTCTACATCACGACATTAGTCACCAACTAGGGAGTTTAAAAATAGGAAGAAAGGAAACAGAGAGGAGCATCAAGAGTTATGGGAATAGTTTTGGGGCTTAGAAACAGGGCCGGCCCATAGGTAAAGCCCATGAAGCAAGGGCTTTAGGCATCAAATAATTATAAGTAGTTTTAAGGGCATCAATTTTTAAAATGTTATTGTGGTCTAGTGGTTAGATTGAAGTCTTTTGTTGTACAGGTCATGGTTTCGAATCCCATACATTTTAAAACTTGTATTTTTTTTTTATAACAGCTTTTGCTAATGGGCCAAATTTTTTTTTGCTTTAGACACTCAAATAGTTTGGGCCGGCCCTATTGGAAAGTTTAGGGTCTCTAGAAGAAACTCTAACTACAGTCTGCTAATTTAGTTCTGTGCTTCTGCAGTGTGTTTTTCGATAGGCTTGATGTGCTTAAGCAATATTTTACTGGGTATTGCAGGTGCATCTGACTCGATATGATCCTGATAAGCTTGATGAGTCTGTACTATGGACAGAGAGCAAGGATTTGGGCGATGGATATCGCACGATAAGGATGATAAACAATACAAGGCTAAACGTGGATGCATATCATGGTGACAGCAAATCTGGTGGTGTCCGTGATGGCACGACTATTGTCCTCTGGGACTGGAACAAAGGCGACAACCAGCGCTGGAAGATCTTTCCTTTTTGTAAGCTTTTCCTAACCGTTTCTGCTTAGTTTTTAAATTGCTTGTCTTGCATCAAACTAGAGAGTAGAGACCATGAGGTAAACTCTGAAATGGAAATGGTCAAAACCAGAGCTAGATCTCTAATGAGCTAATGTATCGATGAATTTGACATTGTGGTTCGGTTCGATTAACTCCAAGAGTCTTAACTGATATGTTGAACCAGATAATTAACCTCTGTTTAACTGTATTATGAAAAACTGCAGGAAAATTGGTGTCTGGAGTGGTAAAAAGTGGTCTGTGTGTGTTTTATGAATAAGAAAGAAACAAAACTCAGATTTGTTCATTGTTTGTGTCTTTGTAAGACTTGATGGCATCTGTAATCTATCTTACTTGTATTCCAAAGTATGCGTTTTTATAGATACATACACTTGTGTACATGTGGTTTATAATTTGTTCTAGTCTATTTTGAGATCTTTCATTTTCGTTTTGTTCTAAAATTTCAAGAGTTGTAGTGAAAGGAAGAACAAACTCTCTCATAAATTTGTTAGAAACGTATAATGCGTCTGTCTTCTTCTTTGTTCCCTTTTTTTTTTAATTGTGAATTAGATAAAGGGATCACAGATTTTTATCGAATTATGTCGATTAGTTTATTTTAGTAGACTTCCGCGCACGTTTATTTGCATCTGTGATAGTTGTCTTTTCTTAAACTATGAAGGAGTATAATTTTTGCGTGGACTAAAAGTTAGTTTAATATTTTTACAATATATTTTAGGATTGGATTCTTATAAAGTACAGCAAATTATTGGAAATCTTCAACGTGGTTGAATTATAAGATTTTTAATAAAAGATAAATTTATCGAAGATCATCATTATAAATGATTAACATATCATCTGTAATCAAATTTTTTGTTTTTAACTATGTATGACAGACAACAATAAAAAAAAAAAAAAAATCCTTGCTAACGTAGACATGACATTCAATTTCTTGGTAGCTCAATAGGGCATCATAAAGCTGAACCAATCAGCTTGCTATTTGTGGCTGCGGAAAAGTGAGGTCCTTGCTGCATGAGTCAGACCATCACGGCACTTGCAGGCTACCAACACGTCCCAACGCAACCATTTATGACACGCTCAAGTCTTTTTTTTTTTGTGCCGACAAAAAAACTTGGTTATGGTAAAGATTTTTTGTTGTTAAAGGTTTTGATGGTAAGTGGGAGAAATTAGTGTCGACAATAATTTCACCTTTTACCAAAAAAAAAAATTAGTGTCGACAAAAAAAAAAAAAGTGGGAGAAATTAGTAAAAAGATGAATAAAATGGATCACATAAATGGGATGGAGATTATATAAGAATAAATTTGATTCTATTCAACTACATATTTGTTTAAGAAAAATTATAATTCAACTTTTTCAAGCAAAAATAATTATAATTTTTGTTCTTGTGGTTCCACTATAAATAATGAAATTTCATCAAAATAGTTTATAATTCCATCTGTTTCTCTAATTGTACAACCATTTGGATAAGATTGATTATTTTTCAGTTCCAAATGTCAAATCATTTTAAGTGATAGTTTAATGGAGCTTGGCTTAGCTACTCAACAACCCAAATAGTTAATACTAAATTATCATTTATCAAGGTTTGGTGATGATCAAAACAATTATAACATTGGTTTGGTTAGACCAACTCAAACTGACAGAACATAGAAATTAACGTTTATTCTTCAATCATACGATAACATCTCCCATGTATCTTCGCCATGCATGTTTTCCCTTCACTTCATTGGCCTAGCCGATCCTTCAACATTGTCTGATCTCACATCAGGCAATTCAACGGCCACGATCGGCACTTCGTTTACATCGGTTTTATTTGCAAGTTGGTTCTCTGTTGGCAAATCCGTTTTCGTGGAACCTTGATACATCATGTATAGTATCATCTGAGCTACACCGAATAGAAAACCGAGAATGTTTGGCATCTGAAGGCAAAGCAATATATAGACTTATTAGTAAAATAATTAGTTAAAATGTTAAAAGATGAATGTGGAAATGTAAATTAATATTACAGCGATGAACTTGTCTTTGATAAGAAGTCCATAAAAGAACCACATGACGGCGTTAAGAGTGAGAGACAAGGAGAGAAGAAACGGCATGTACTCCACACTTTTTGTCTTTATAACCTTCCTCTGCACACATTACACATCGTTTTGTCAAATTCCAAGTCATTATAATAACGGCATGATGTTTGAAGAAAAGCTGATGGATTATTACCATGACGCTTAAGGGAGAAGCAAAGACGGCGAGACTGTAAGCAGCACAAACCCATCCAACGGTCGAGACACGGTGTTGTTTTGGAACCAAGAGATTGACTAGAAGAATTAAGAGACCAAGTCCACCGATGTTGCATATCACTATCAACTTCAACGTGGATATCTGCCAAGTGTACATCCAGATTAATTAGTTGTAGATATATAAAGATTCATCAGAAGAAAGATTTTTGAAACTAGAGGTGCACCTACTAAAAATATCAACCATACTAAAAGTAGAAATATGTATTTATAGGAACCTTGGCCTCTCTTGGTGCATAAATGATATAGAGAAACAGGTAGGAGATTTCAATGAAACATCCAAAG